CTCCCCGTTCTCGTGACGATTATGTTATAATAACTTCATGACCGCGTTAATTCTCGTTAAGTCATAAGTCGCCAAAACCCGACTACCCGGCGCGGCAAGTAAGCTCATAATCGTCTCGCTTCTCGTGCCGCTCAAAGCCGAGCGCCGAACTCCGGTCAAAGTGGACGAAACTCGTCTGACGTGGCCCGGAGCTATTCGAGGAGGGACGTGGCAGGTAGATAGATAAAGAAGAAAGCGGTGTTCTATTCCGGGGCAGTATTTAATGCGGTTGCGCCCGTTTGTGGTCGTCGACAGCGCCGGGGTCCCGGGCTCCAGGGCGCGGCTTTTATGCGATGTAATTCCGATGCAAATCTGTCTGTTGAACTTTTCACTCGCGTTACGTCGTGTCGCGCCGGTCTGCGGTCGTGTGCCGGTGCTCCAGTATACTTCGTATACAATACGCTGGATATTACGTTATATTTTCCCGTCGAAACGAGCTTGGCGAATATTGCAAACTATGCATCTAAATACTCGGAATCGTAGTCTCCATTATCTATCGTATTTGCATTGCGATTTGCTGAATTGGTCGAATTGTTGACTCACTATAATTCTAATTAACTGAATTATGTATTTTCTATGTTATTTAGACAAATTAATAAATTATTAACGTACGCGTAGTATCTTAACAATATTTACGTATAATATTTTAACAATCGCTTAGGTGATCGATATATCGATATATCAATTAATATCTTATACTACTTCAGTAAAGTAATAATAAATTATTCTAACAAAATACTTTTTATTAGAAAGAAGTAGAAGCATCCGATCCACTTTAGTCGCGTGCTTCTCTCTTTCTCTTTTATTGATTTAACATAAAAATTCCCTTTCTCGCCATGATACTAACTTTCATAGTAAAAGCCGGTTGCTACGTTAAATATTTTCACGACAATCCCTTTCTCAGTATGTTCGACCCATGCACCGTTATCGAAACGAGATAAGTTTTTGCGAAGATGCAGACATGGATGCATGTAATAGATACGAATATCTATCGCCGTTCAGTCAATCACCCTCGAGAATCTCGCGACCATCCCGTCGAATCCATTCGGTCTTGTGTGCGCGTGAATCGACGCTGGAAAGCTCGTCGTTTAAATCACATGGGCGGGGCTGAGGATCCCGGATACCGACCAGGAGCCGCCATCTGCACACCGCAGGGCGAACAACCCCCGGAACTAACATCCCCGCGACCTGATCCGAGAAATGAAATCTTGTTCGCTTGGACTTGTATAATCCCTGCAGTCGCCCTTTGATGATTACATTCGATGGTTACATTACAATCTTATTTATATATTTATCTTGTAATTAATTGTTATTATATATATTATATATTTTTCTTCAACCCCTGTTAAAATTTATTTATTTTTGTCTCAATACAGATTAAAGCTTCGTATCAGTTTTGTATCACACATAATCTCAAAAGTTAAAGCTTTAAGTAAAATTTTCTGAATTTTGATTTTTACTTTTATAGAATATCTAAAGTAAATTGCATATTATATATATATATATATATATACATTTGCATTCGTAATTGCACCACTTATTTTACTAAAGAAAATAGAAGCAACCATTCCACTTAAATTGAGTCGTATGACTTATTGACCTAATAATATAAAAACACTCGACGCAAATTAAAAATTAGCTAAAACTTTAAATAACTACATTAATAATTATAAAACAATATGAAACAATCTTGTTGCTTTTCCTGAGACAGATATTTTCAAAAAATTACACATTCTTATATTTCTTCTTGCGATAAAAACTTGTTGTAAAATCTTCGAAATCCGTCAGATCTCCATCTCTGGTTCTGATAAATTGCGTGAAAATAGCGAAAAAAAAATTTACACGAACCAGAGCGCTACTTTTTATGTGTATCGGCAGGCACTCCTGTATCGTTTACATGGCCCCACCCTGCATTTTTCGAATTTCTCGCAACTCTGTTTACCTGCCGCAATCGCTTTCTTTTTTACGATCGCGCGACGACAATGGTTGGCCGTTCACCCTGCACCATTGCCCCCTTTTTTCTCATTGTACGCATGAGGAGGCCGTGTCTCGCATTCCGCGGCCTCGCAAAAAACCGCTATGAAAAAGTCTCCAGCGTTGTTCCCCGTATCCGTTGAACCTCGTATATGAAACATTTCCCGTGTGCGCGCGATTGCGTAAATCTCGTCCTTTATTTCAATGAGCGCGCGATATTGTCCGACTTTATCACGTAAGGCGATTCGCACGCGTCGGCCGAATTATTTTGCGCGGGAGAAAGATAACAAAGGTAAATGACTAAACGTAATTCATCCCTCATCGAGCAACACCCGCTAGTTGCAGAGATTTCTCGTTAACGATGGATGAAGCGAGAAAGCGCCAGCCCGCATCAATTGGTAATTTTTAAAATAATATTGCTTTATAGAGAGAGAGAGAAAGAGATTCGGAACAGGTATTAAAAAGTTTAATGAAATGTGTATATTATAGAGAATCTCATAAAAAAAAAAAAAAAATAGTAAAAACTAATCAAACCTGAAACTCGTTACGTTCCATGATATATTTTTGGAATGATTCATTTCCAGTATTCTCAAGCATAATGGTGCAGTATGTAGAGATATCGAATATCAATGGAATAATCATACATGTAGATGGAAATTCGAAAGAAACTAACACTAAAAAATATCGATATAGATTTAACGTCATACGGTGCCTATATAATTCTCACCATGATGACATTAATATTAATACTCAAATGATTTAAAATTAATATTGTTAAATCCACATCACATAATGGTGTATTATAATATTGCACCAACACAATAAGAATTATATAGGCACATGATAAATCCACACCGATATTTTATAAAGTACTGCAAGAAAGTATGTTAGACAATGGGCGCGGCTCGGAAAGGAATAACATTCTCGAAAAGCAGAATGTACGATGACAATCGCATATATATGCGCACACAATGCAAGTGGAGGTGCACTTCGTGACCCAAAAATGACTGCAACCGAATGCCACGAGTGCTAGGGCCGCAAGGTACGGCGGAGACCACGAAATTCACGGTGCGCTAATCAATAATGTATTTAGTGTGCGAAACTTCGTGCCGGGATGTATTCCAGTTGGGGACCACCACACTGGCGAAAGGTGGTGCCCGAGCATTGTTCTGCGGCATCCAGGCCCGTGTCCGGCGGTCGGTCCGCTACGTAAAGTCCCGCGGAATAATTACGAGTTTCGCCATTGAATCAGGAATGTACCAAACAAGGCAGAAAGCCGACCTGCAATTCCATTATTAATTCAATTAGTGCTAGACGCATACTGATCGCGAGATTAATGCATCCCGCGGACCATAATCTCATTCCGCCATCTGAACGACTGAAGCCGACCGATATCGTGCTCGGTATACACGGGGTGTCTCAGATTGATCGTATCTTCCCACAAATACGAGTTTTATTACATTACTCCCTCAATATACAATAAAAGCATTTAGACGTCCTTTATATTTTTTTAAAGAACGCTGCAGAATTAAGAATCTTTGAAAAATTTAATTTTAAGCAATGAAAAAACATGGAAAACAAAATATTATTCATTTAATTACAAATCAATTTTTCTTTAATTTAATTTCAATTGGAGAATAATTGCCAAATGTTTAGACTGATAAAAATTGAGAAGATAAATCGAAGAAGGATCAATATAGATGAAATAAAATCAAAAAATAAATTTTCGTGTATAAATCTGTATTTTACATTAAGATAAAGTAATCTTGAAATATGATTATGTAATTTGGAATATTTTAGCAACTATAGTTTATTTACAAGAAGCACATAAACACGGCAAATATAATTACTGAAATTATGTATAGTATTGATGCATACAAAATAATACATAATTTCTATTTCTAAATGAAATTAGTAGTAAGAGAGAGAGTTTACATTAAACGTAAATGTAAAAACGTATGTAAATAACATTAACAAATATAACATTCATATTGAATAAATTGAAAAAATAAAACTCTTCAATAGCTGAGTAGAATTATGGCAAAAATTTAAATCGCTACACGTTACTATTAGCACCAAAATATACATAACAAGACAAGAAACTGTTACTTGATAATGATTGCAATTATTAGCCTTGCGCAAACTAACCTAATTTTTATTTCGCATATGTTTAAACCGCAAACCATCAATTTACCACTCGGCAAGAACCTTGTGCAACATTCACAGTCCAGATGTACGCTAAAGGAATGAGGAAGTGAGTATCCAACACCGAAACTATTCTCTAACAGTGTTCAAAATTTAAAAAAAAAAAGTTTGATTACAAAGTTAAAAGATAGTAAAGTATATCTAACGATGGAATGCGGAACAATCGAATCGTTCGGTATTTGCTTGCGTGCGAAAACCAATGAAGCGACCGCAAAATCAAAACAGCTCGTAAACTAAAGAAATGAACAAACAGACACCGACTTGTGTTCTTTTTTTTACCAACACACATTGATCGTCCCGCGAATTCCGAATGAACAATATCCGAGGTATCGCGAGTGCGCTCGATAAAACTCTGAAAATATCATTCCAGTATCTAAACATTGCAACTATTTATTTTACAGAACACGTTATTTATTTTACAAAACAAATTTAAGTGTTGCCGTTACGTAGCTTTTTCCATTCGATCATCTCCCGAATTCGTTAGTAATACAAAACTATATAAATACGTGTGATTAAAATCAAGATCGTTAGCTAAAAAAATTAAAATTATTTAAACGAATAGAAACAAGAAATAAGTAAATAATCAAAAGATAAAGAAAGAGAGAAAAGTTATTTTAATTATAAAAAAATTATTAAAAAGTATAATATGTATATTGTATATACGATTAAATTGATTTTATTTCTAAAATAAAAAATGTTAAGTGTAGAAATGATTAAATCGATGACTAAATATGTGATAAAATTTTCGTTGAGTTTTAAAATATTTCAGGAATTATGTCATGATGTTGGCTCTCTCCATATGGTACTTCATAAAGTCAACACATGTATCAGGAGTAAGAAATATTACACACGGTATATCGAAGCATATACGATCTATCGGATTTCCCGAGAGTAGCAATACAGGGGTATGGTGGATCAATCATTCATTTTTCATCTACTAATGCGTCTCAGACTCTGTGCGGGCACCCTGTTAACTCAATATTAATCATTTGCACTTCAAGTGCACTTGTAAAGTGTGATCTACAAGTAAATCTCACGAAAAACTCGAAATAAAAACATTTTATTTGACATAAATGGCAATTTCTATTCAAGAATATTGAAAAATAAATTTTTATCTATCGCAAAAGAAAGATGATAAGAGACCTTAAATGTAGTTTGTGATTTTTAGCAACCTATATAAAATTTTTTTTCCTTTGTAAATTTATGTTGACATATATTTCGAGAAATAGAAACTGATCGTTGAAGAGGCTAATCCTTATTATTCTAATCGTATTATCGATGATTAATAGCAATCTATTAATCTTCTTTTAATTTCTTTAAATATGATTTTACAGATTTAAAAAATAATTATTTGATTTGCAGATATTCTTCGCATTGGGAATTCCCTTAGATATTCCAGACAAATCTGTCACGGTGTCATTTTATTTTGAAGCAAATTATGCATTACCATCCGAATGGAATTCGAGTTATTTCTACGAGGGTACTTATTATGTGAAACGAAGTCTTAGTCGTCAATTAGTATACAAAGTGTTTACAAACAAAATAGACAGGTAAAATAGAGCTACGTTATCAATTATTCTCCATCTCATACACATTCTGCAATTTTACTTTTAATATTCTAAAATATAATTTTGTAAATAAAATGTAAAAAAACGGTTGTATCTTATATCAGATTAGGCTATCCTGGATTGGATTGTTTGCTAAGAACAATCTGCGAAGCTGGAAAATACTCCTTAAACGAAAATGGCGTACTTGGTGACATTCTTCAAATTATTTTCACGTAAGTATAAATGGGAAAAACTGTTTAAATGTCTAATAAAAAATTAAAATGTAAACAATATATTATAATATTATACTTGATAACATATTATGATAACGGCAACAATAAATGAGAGAATGGAAATTACAAAAATTGGGTTTTAGATTAGCTTGTCTGATGAATTTTTATTTTCTATTAAAATATTCATCTGGCAGACATCATTCATACAATCATTTATTTGGCATGACAAAACGAGTAATATAGGAATTATTACATTTAAGTGCATTCCTTTGTTACAGACCCTCTATGTCGATGAGTGAAGATCTTCCGGATGAAATTATCGAAGCCGAACGTGAGCAGCACTGTAATCAGCGCTACAAAAAATGTCCTGTGAACCTTTTAGATCTAGTAAGCTATTATATCAACTAACTGAATAATTCTGCGTAATTATATTGCATCGAGAATATTTAAAAAATTCAGTAATTCATATCAAAGGTAGACTGGGCTAAATATCGTCATAAATTGTGTATCAGATATCTGTACGAAGTCTGTTATATTAAATATCGACGTAATCTTACAATTAGTGAGATTTGATAATATAATAAAATAAGGAATTAATAAAATTATATCCAAATCTGCAACACGTAGTTTAAAACAAATAAATAATAAATATTACAAGAATTGAAAATGTTCGAATTGTTTTCTTCATGACTTATTCACTTGTTGCTTGCATTTAATTAAATATTTTATTATATAGACATATTTATATTTTTCTTAAAGCTCTTCTTTTTTTTTATTTCAACTTAAACATCTTCTACCACATCAAACTTATTATTAAAAAACGGAATATACTTATTTTGATATTTTAATATAAAAATGTTATAACAAATAATGGAATTAAATTTTTATGTATTTTTATTCTGTTTGATCAAACTGAACGTGAAACCTTTTTAGTTTATGTAAAACAAACAACATTAAAAAACTAATAACAAAATAATTATAATTAGATGTCAGTACGAAATTTGATTTTTTAAGTACACCTATCTGGTGTATAGGAAAAAGAGAGATATGATATACAAATATAAAATTTTAAATAGTTTATTAAATTTGTTTTTTAACAACACACAAATTTTATGTCGAAGACATGTATTATTATGTACGTCTAATTAAACCTTATCCTTGTCTATTTAACAAGTTTATTACAACACGAAAGAAACATAATCTATAAAAACTATTGTCTTTTGAAGACTATCGTAAATGTAATTAATCTATGCATAAACAATAAAAATGCAATCAATATAAATAATGAATGCAAAAAATCTCTATCACTGGTGCATTTCAAACAAGTATTCGAAAACTTTAATCATTTGTACTTTTCATCATTCAACTTTTTTTTTTTAATCCGAGAATGATTTCTACTATAACATTAGAAATTTTCTAATCTTTTCTCTAACAATTCTAAGTTTTCTGCTAGAATATTCTTTCAGAAAATCAATATAAGATTTAAAATAATTATTATGAATACAAAATAAAATGTAACATCAGAAAGACATTTAAAAAATATCTATACAAAATTTAAAATCGATATAAAAGAAGTACTTATTATCTACTCTTTCTGATAAAAACATCAAATAAACACAAGTAATGAGCTTTTTTAAAATTATTATTTTTTATGCTTGCAGCTTTTCTTACGTCAACTTTAGTCTCTTTATTTAAATTATTGTTTTCCGAAGCTTGTATTTCGAGTCTTTTCTTCACATTTTATTGTAATTACAAATCACTGGTTTCAGTCCACATGTCGTCAAACTGTATGTACATTCATACAACTCCGAACAGCTCTGGATTACACGTGTATTTTGGTAAAGCTCCGAGAGATCTCCTGGTTTTACCTTACTCCTTCAGTTTGCTAATCGCAGGCACAGCGATCGCTTGTTCCACGGTGGCACGCCTGGATTGCAGAGAATGAAGCACATTTTCGTAGATCACAAATGTGATAACTGTAGCCGGTGTCACTCTGGTGAGGTTTACGCTTAAACCCTTGTAAAAGCCATGCCAACTCTCATACCTGTAACGAACCACCAGCAATACGCCTTTGTTTTACTTTGCTTTACAACAGATCAAAAACGCGAAGAGTTTTGAAGCATTATTAAATTTAACCCGCGTACGATTCTTGACGCTATCAATTATTTACTATCAAAATTTGATTTAGGCACAATAACTCTCTTTCGTCGCTTCAAAATGTTTACGAAATCATCAATCGTTAGAATCATTAGAAATAATATCTATTTTCTATCAATGTCAGAATCTATAATTTAAACAAATCGATAAAATACGACCGCATATAAATTCGAAGCAGTAAAATCGAATTTTTCTTATTTCATTCTTTAGTTAAAAATTCAAATATGATTAATTCAAACACGATATATGTACATTAATTCACGTGCAATATGTTCAAAAATCGTACTGCTGGTGGCTTAATAAACAAATCACAACATACTCGATAATTATTCAATCACAATACCTTTCTACATGCTATTTATTCTAAACAATAGGACAATAAGAATTTTAATGCAAAATAATTTAAAAATAATATAAATTAAATTAATTAATTTAATTAGTTAATAACTATTTTATTAAATTAATTGGTTTAATTAGTTAATAACTAAATCTAAATTATAACTATAGTTATTAACTAAATTAGTTAATTCGTAATTAAATAATGATGACATTTTTTTGTCCAATGTGCTGTAAATAAGATATTAGTATTATTAGAAAAAAAGGAAGATATCATTTGGGTAAAATCTGAATAACGTAATTTGAATAATCTCAAATAGTTAATAATTAATTTAATAACAAACACTTTTCGATATGTGTGCGTGTGTTTATTAATATCGTCACAATATTGTTTTAAGTATACTCCTTCGCTTTCGTTCCCATGACTCTCTTTTCTCCAAAGAAACAGATTCAAGCTAGATTAATGGCTAAAGAAAATGAATATAAATAAATTTGTACTACTATTTACAGATTGCAATGAGAAAACTTATTGCTATCGATCATATGTTCCGAGTGCCAGACTCTACGATCCTTGCAAAATTGGTCTGTTATGGACTCTATATACTCTACTTAAAATGAGGTAAAGTATTGCCTACGGAGAAATAGAGTCGCTTCGTAAAACCGAAAAAAAAGAGAGAAGATAAAACATAGCGAATTTACTATTTCTTAAAACTTAAAAGAGAAATCGCTAAATTAAGCGATGTCTAGTCCGCACTGAAACTTGTCAAGCGAAGACATGGAAATTATCAAGTTACACATGTGGCTTATACACATTATGCGTCAAAAATTGTTCGAAAGTTACACAGATAATAAGCATATCATGTGTTATTCGTATAGTTACGTAAATATTTGGTTATTAATTCAACTATCCAAGATTACACCGTCTGTCGACGTGAATCAGATGTATTTTTTCTTACAGCTCTTGCATTCGAATAGAGCATTAATTATTTTATACCATAATAGTATAAGATGTAGTACTCTCCTCGCTTCCTTTCGCATCACTGTACGCGCAACCAAGCACATCTATTTAGATTTGTTCAACTAAATCCAGTTTAGTTGACACTCAGATATTTTTATATACCTCAGCAAAGAAAAAATGATCATATCCATACGTTCATTTGTGATGGTGCACTTTGTATAATGAGAAGATATTTCATTTAAAATACATTTTCGTTATAACAAAACTATCCTTACACACATCAACCATCCACAAATTCCGCTAAATTAAATACATTCGTCGCGTCGAGAAATAATGTTATTCATTTTACATTATCGCAGTCTCTCAGTGTACTTGGATAAGACAGGATAAGTGATTAAATAACTAAAACACATACATTCTACGTACTATACGTGCCACAAATTATTGCCATTTCAAGATCTATTTCTCAGTTTGGAATCGTCGCATTGTGATTTTCGCGAGAAGTTAAAACGGTAATAGTAAAAACAATTATTTTTCCACATCAAGTGATTCCTTTCATCACCGTATGATTCTACAAACCTAATATAAATTAATAGAAATACAAATAATAGAAAATATCGTGCACTCACTTTATGAATGCCAGAAAGAAAATAACATATTATCTAGATATCGTCTACAACAGAATAGATTAAAAATTGCTACTAATACCTAATCATATCAACCATCCTCCAAATTTTCTAATATTTCAGACAAAAATAGTTTTGTAAAAAGAAACTTTCTTAAAAAACAAAAATAATTCTGTATTGTAACCTATTTGAATGATACGTAAAGCATGTCATTTATCTATTTAAAGAAAAAAATTGAGTACTATGGCCTCACATCATTGAAAAGTCATACATGCATCTGCGTATCAAAACTCAAAAATGGTTATACCATAGTTTTGATAAATCAAAGGATATACGCGCTAGAGTAAGATTTAAAAAAATTGTCTAAAAAGTTTTCTTACTTTTGCAATAATAAGGTATCAATGTAAATTAACTACCGTTAGTAAAATGCTCGTAAATAAGAATAATCAGACATATGTTTGGTGTAACATGTAAAAGGTATGGTGATAAGCCTTTATAGAAACCCCTAATCCCTTCTGACCTCCATGTGCATTGAACGCAATGCCAGGTACCCCGATAATTATGATGATGATCCTGAAGTCGTGCTCTCACTACTTGATAAGGGTATGTCGACGCTGCAGCGATCAGCTTCGACATTGCCGCGAAAATGATGTATTCAGTCGTACTCTGCAATCATATAATAGAAGTATTTCTCATTTTTATTTTCTTTTTTAATATTATTTTATTTATAAGCACCTTTATCCAATTAAAAATTAAAATATTTTTTATGCATTTTCAATAATATTTATTACTCTTTATATAAAAAAATACAAATCAACAAAAAAAAAACATCGCGAATTAAGAATTAATACGCATAGTTAGATTCATTCTATTCTGCTTTGTCTCAACCATAATAAAAATATAGTCAATTTACCAATTTCGTATCGATGGCTACATTCAGGTAGTTATAGTATTTATTCTTCATTTCTTCGTACGCCATGAATTGTATTGCACCGTGTGAAACACCAAACAATCCAGGAACTAAACCCTGCAAGAACACAATATTTTCTTTATAATCACGTAAACCGCAAATAAGTCTTATTTTATTTAAATACAGTTATAAATCGAAAGTTTGATCAGAAAAATTTTTTGCTTGCCTTATATAAGCCTCTAATACCCTCCGTCTTGTAAATCTTCTTTAAAGCATCAACCATACCATGATACTTCTTAGACTCCGCTATATTCACATCGTCAGCATATTGTAAGCACAGCCGCGTCTTTACCACCCAGATCGGGTTAGTCATGAGCAATGTAAGCACTCCGGCATCAGCGGCAGCGAACATATGCATGGA